TTAGTGCTTTAATTTATACACATTTTTGTATGCCATTCGGAAAGTATGGAAAATTTCATAAAAATCGGATTCTAAATAACGAATTTAATCAAGACTGCTTTACGTATAGTGTGGGTCTAAAAGAAGAAGCACAGCCGCTGCGGAAAGTTCCCAGCTAGCGTGCGTGCTTGTGTGTGAGTGTTAGTCTCTGTAGCAGCAACTTGGCGCTTGAAGGAGGGTATTTCCCAGCCGGCTTCTCCCCATTAGAACACTCTTACTTGTTTGCCCATTTACTCAATTAAAATGCGCTGCGATTGAGACATTTAACGCGAATTGCGTGCAATTATGGGCCCACTTTTGATAGACAAACGCCACAGAATCAGATCAGAAACAGATCGTTGCACTGATTTATTTGTTCACATTGCGTAGCATATGAAACGCAATTTCAATTTGCAATTGTTGCTGCAATTGCGACAATGTTATTGATGGACAGCCCAGTACTTGGGGCTCGAGTGCCCGGGGGTTGATAAGGAGACCTTTGGAGTTTCAATTGCAGCAAACGTCACGCATTCAGCTACTGTCAAAGTAAATACTTGCAGATGTGTTGCGGGTAAACTTTTGCTCATGATACCCATTCATTTCAGTCAGGTGTTAAGGCCCGCTAATACCGGCTGATAACAACGCGCGTATTTGCTTATATTGCTTTTATTTTTAAATTTATCTTTCATAATATTTAAATGACTGGGCAGCAGAGCGCACGAGAGGTTGTAAAACGTGCAGTCAGGAGATATATATATTTACATATATATAGAGAGAGAGAGAGAGCGAAAGACACAGTGGGCCCTCTTATTTTTTAAGACGCTTAACAATTCTAGAGACTGGAGCTGTTTTTTTTATGCTCGCCTCGCTCACACGCTGGCTGCGGAGGATTTGCTAATTGCGGTTCGCCTCTCTAGGGTCTCTCGCGTCTAAAAATGGGCTTTTGATTTACGCAAAATGTATATATATGCATATATGTTCACAATGTGGATACACATATATAAATATTTGTCTATGGCACTCCAATGCTCAGATTGACATTGACAGTGGAGCTGTCACTTTGTGTACAATACCCTGCGATCGTTAAACATCAAAAACGTTAGGAGTTCTATCTTATATCAGAAATATTGGCGTGTTGAAGAATTGCCTACATATTTATAGCATAATATTGTCAGAATGAGTCGCGAGTGCTTTGATCGGTAAATATCAAAAATAAACTTCCATAGAAAATGTTTCTGTATACATTTGTGGTTATAAAAATAATTTAGACTGTGCTTTTTGACAACTTACGCAAACTTTGGCATCCAGTTTGACCTTCAAATAAACAAAAAATAAGCATAGAAAATAAGAGAAAATTCGGGGTTTTGTTTCCAAAAAAAAAAAAAACTAAAAGTTTTACAAGTTTGGGTTTACTGTCGAGTATACAAGTTTACAACTGGCCTAACTAACTTTTTTCAATATTTCATTTTGTGTTTAAATTTAAAAATAGCAAAAGCTGCAAATTTAAAGTGGGAGTGTTTAAATATTTGAATATCCTTAACCTAATATTTTATTGTGTCTGTTATTTATGTTTAACAATCTTTAACAATCAAATGCTGCGACGAAAAAGTACGTAAACAACAAGAATTTTTCGTTTAATTTGAGTGTCAATATTGTCTTTTGACGCCATTCACTCAGCTTCAGAATACTTTTAAGAATTCATGAGTTCGAATAGCACATTTATAGATATTGTTTGCCATATGCTGAATGTTTTAGATAAAACTTAGGCTACAGGCACCTAAGATATACCTCTATATACTTGAGTAGAGTTCCAGATTCCCAAAATATATCCCATATAACTTTTTTTTAAGTAGCCTGTTTCTTATTGGGGATTAGAACTATGGGACTCGTATGTACAAGTTATATAGCCTGGATAGAGCGTTCATGTAAAAATGTTCACAACATAGACTAAAATAAACCCGTAACTATCAACAAAACCTAAACCCACCTCAGCTTGCAGTCTTGAAACTGTCCAAATCATTGTAACGACTAAAGGACTCGTGTGGCTTCCCTATTTCAGCCTCAACAGACTCGAATGGGGGTATCAAAATAAAATGTCTCTTTTAGTCGCCTCGTACGACAAGCAGTGACATACTGTGGTGGTTATTCTAGAGCCCGCCAACCACACGGGTGAAGTGAGAGTATCATATATGTCATACATATGAGAGTATTATATATGTGTCATACATATGCTACTCTCGTAAATATTCATATATTCATACTCTCAAATATATATTTATACATGATACTCTTTTATATACGACAATAGAGTACAACCCCTCAGAATATTTTTTTGCTCGACATCATTTGAATGCAGGGCGTTCCCATAGAAAGGAGGCCTCAAGCCTTGACAACAGATTTAGGGCCTTTTCAGCAATTCATAGCCGAAGCTATGTTTAGTCAGATATGAAATAAACTTAGGTTACAGGATCTGTTCTTGCAGCAACTGAGCAACAGATCTAATTTCACCAAGTTGTTGCGCATTGTACACAAATGAGTCAAAATGTAGAAGCAACACCCGTGGTAGATAAGATGTGTGTATGTCAGCATGTGGATGAAAGATCAAATTTAATTGAAAGGCTTTTGCATGGATGGGCGGGTGCTAATGCTCGAGCATGATTGATGGACTTGATTTGATATTTTGCGGCCAAGTCAGGCGCCAATCTCCTGACTGTTAGCCAACATTTTGATTAGTTATCAAAAATAGAGAGAAACAGCAAACGAATTTAGTTGCTGGCATTTGCTAATTAAACGCTAACCATTTGGCATTTCAGTTGTTTGAAGGTGTTCAAAATGAAGGCATCGACATTGGATAAAATCAGCTGCTTCCTGGCCGAGCTGCTGGGCACAGGCATTCTGGTCTTCCTCGGCTGCATGGGCTGCGTGAAAACGGACATCTTTCCCAACAATCATTTGCAGATAGTTCTTAACTTTGGCTTTGCTGTTCTCATTGCCATCCAATGCTTTGGCTGTGTGTCCGGTGCCCATCTGAATCCCGCCGTCACCGTGGCGGCCTTTATCTATGAGCTGGTCACTTTGCCCATGGCGTTTGTCTACTTTGTTGGCCAAATGTTAGGTGCCTTCATCGGCTACGGCCTGCTCAAGGCCTTGCTGCCATACTCAACAATAAATGTGCCCAATGGCCTGTGCGTTACACTGCCCCATGCCGAAGTCTCCAGCCCGCAGGCCTTTGGCATTGAGTTTGCGGCCACCTCGGTTCTGATCATTGTTTGCTGCGGCGTCTGGGATCCGCGCAATGCCAAGCACCACGATTCCGTGGCCATTCGTTTTGGCCTGGCCATTGCCGGTTTGGCCTGCGCAGCGGTAAGTTGCAGTCTGTGCCGCACTGTTGCAGTAATTATCTATATCAAATATTTGATTTGTGGCTTGCAGGGTCCCTTCACAGGCGCCAGCATGAACCCGGCCAGGTCCTTTGCGCCAGCACTCTGGAACGGCAACTTTGATGCCCACTGGATCTACTGGCTGGCACCGCTGAGCGGTGCCGCCGTCACTGCCATTGCCTACAAGGCCGTCTTCCGACGAGAGGTTGTCGAGGCGCAGATCATGTCCGAAGAGAAACTGCGCCAGTTGGAGGATGTTCAGCTCTCATAGGCCAATGTGACACAAGTGCCAAAACTGCTCTGTGCTGCTCTTTCAGCGCATGGGCAACCACTTAAACAAATCTAACTAATTGTAAGCTAAGAACAATATGGACGAATTTTATATTAATACAAATGTTTGTATACTAATATAAAGCTTCGATAAATAAAGCACATAGACATTTTTTCTATCTCAAAAACTCGTTTTTTTCGCGCTTAACTTTAATGAATTTGCAAGTTTTATATCAATGGAATTATAGGATGATGTTTCAATTAAACTCGAAAGTTGTGACCCTTATTTTGGCATGCGGAAGACAAAAAGACTTGAAGGCGTATGACTCATATATAATTTAATACTCAGATCATACGAAAAATGTAATTCTTGGATGATGAGTACGAATTACCATCTGGATAATACATTTAATATTGGAACTTCTAAAATCGCTGAATCACACATTCAATAAGTTCTTCTCTATATATCAAAATGTTTGTCCTGACTGACTGACTGATTGGTGATCAACGAACAGCCCAATTTGGCATCTCAGTCTGGAAACATTATTCTTGTTCAAAATAATACTGTAAACGACTACACAATACGCTGAAAACAAGACAACTTGACTTACGTTTTCAAATAGAAAGGGAAAATAAATCTAGAAACTCTAGAATTCATAGAAATCTCTAGACAGAAAAAATACCTTTCAGAAATACAGACAGACTAAGTGTTTGCCAGACTGATAGTGTGCCAAGTAAACAATGTGAAGGTGGTTATATCGCATTGGGTCTCAGTCTTAATCCAAGTAAAGTGGATTGGGGTCGCTGATTAACTGCAATAATAGCATGTACCCTGCCACTTCAATGTGCCCGTCGTGCTTACCGGAGGCGCCTCAAAGTAGGCCAGCATTGGGCGGCGTTTCGCTGTCATTAATCAAATGTACTTAGCGGCCATTGCGATATTGGCCAAGCCAAGGCGCCATATTCGCAGCTGTTGACCATCTTAGTTAGATAAGGTTGAGCATTAAATGCCATGCAGTGTGGCAATTCCAGTTAAACAACGATCCACACTGGAAATTCTGGCTGGGTAGACCCCATTTAAAGAGTTCCAGACATGATTAATTAATTATTAATTTGCTTCTGGGCTTGAGTCGACGACGACAATACCAAATGGCGTAGGTTGCCCTATCTAGGCAAAATAAAAATATCCGCATAATAATTAGCATTAAGGTTTTATAATTCATATTGATTGATTAGGGCCAAAATTTTAAAGTCGAAACCTTGCGCTGGTCGGGGCCCGCTGCTACCACGAGCAGCCAGTCCAACCAGCCCACTCAGTTGTATTTGGACAGTATGTCGCAGCAGAGGTTAAGGATCAGCAATTCCAGCCCCAACTCAAGATGGAGATATCTGAGGTTGCGTTCGGAGCACAGATCGCGAATAGCTGCCTTTTTTGGCGAGCTGGTGGGCACGGCCACTTTCATATTCATCGCCTGTATGGGCTGTGTGACCACGCCCATATTCCTTAACTCCCACTTCGAACTGAGCCTTAACTTTGGCCTCGCCATACTGATTGCCATACAGAGCTTTGGCGCCATTTCGGGCGCCCATCTGAATCCGGCCATCACACTGGCCGCCTTAATCTATGGCGCTCTTGGTTGGGCCATGGCCATTGCATATTTGGTGGCCCAGGTGGCAGGTGCTCTCATCGGCTACGGTTTGCTGAAGGCCGTGCTGCCCCTGAATGCTATCGTTGGTGTGGACGAACCGGCTGGTGTCTGTGTCACGGTTCTCAGCAGCGACATTTCGGTGCTTCAGGGCGTCTTCATTGAGCTTCTAATCACCAGCTGCCTAACGATGGTCGCCTGCTCGGTTTGGGATCCACGCAATGATAGACTCAAGGATTCGGTGCCGATACGTTTTGGCCTTACAGTCGCGAGTCTTAATTTGGCAGCGGTCAGTATGAAGCACGCAATTCTGACTTGGCCAGTTTGCAATATCAATTGAATTTTCAACAGGGCCTATTCACCGGCTCGAGCATGAACCCGACACGATCCCTAGGACCGGCTGTTTGGAACAATTCCTGGCAGCATCACTGGATCTACTGGGTGGGTCCTTTAGTGGGTGCCGCACTCACTTCGCTCATCTACCGATTCGCTTTCAAGGGTCGCAGCGAAGAAGTGATTGAACTCCGCAGCTCAAATGCCAAAATACAATTTATTGATAAGGTTTAGCGGTTGGGCTTATGCTTTAGAAGCCACATTAGTTTTTAAGTTAAGCTTAAGTTTAATAAACTACTAATTAGTTCATGAAAATCGCATAGAAAGGCGGCATGTAAGAGAGAAAAGCGCGAGTGCATGAGGAGAGAGTGACAGAGAGAGAGTCCCTACTTTTGTTTTTTACGAGAACATAAGTAACAGTTAGGTTATGCTCAAAAATTGTAATGTCTTTGAGAATGAAAAAGCAGATGAGAGAGCCGGTAGAAAATAGCGAGGGGAATCTCTGTCTCTGTGCGAGAAACATAAATAAAAAGTGTCTCAAATGCAAAACAGGTCAGAACTCACTCGAGGTTATGAAAATCGCATAGAACGGCGAACCGAATCTAGTAGGGTAAGAGTGTGACTCATTAGCACATGCAACGACAGGTGGCTAGCTTTCAATGCAAAGCATTTATTTTGTCAAAAAAATAATCAATAATTATAAATCTGGGATTTCCAGTTTTAATAGTCACCCAAAATAAAAACAAATAAAAAAATACGATTATCAGAGATGTCGGTACTAAGTTTACTAGCTGCTTAGCGTCATGACTAAGAGACTTGGCTCCACAGCAGTAAAAATAATAATAATCAAACAGACATCATCTCGTTCATCGACTTTTAATATTAATGATAACATCCTGATTAAGTTAAATACCTTAAACAAATTGATAGTCGGTAACGCCACATGACTCTATACATAAGACTGAGGTTTGAACTGCACTTAATACAGAATTAGCTGTCGATTCTTCTGATAGCAAATACTCAATAAATGTTAAATTTGGTATTTGGTGCAATGACAGCTAACGCCAAGGCTTTAATTTTAGTTCTCAGAGCACATTGTAGATGGAAGAGAGGAAATGTGTGAATAGAAACCTCATGGCCTTGCGAATCATTCCTTAAAGATATTCCTTGGAATGCAATCTACTCTTACTACCTATAAATGAGCTTTTTTTGTATATTGCGTTATTAAATACTTAAGTATTTGATTTAATGTGAAATTAAATTTTGTAAATAGAAGACTTAGTCAGAGTTACAACAGCTTTGTAAAGAACTCTCAAAGTCTATAAGTGTTCGGCATTTATATATAAAGTATATAAATTATCTTTATATAGGTCAGCTTAAGTTTAAAATCTATCCTTGAGAACCCACGCATTGTGTAATAAAGATTGTTATTTTTGTTAAGTCTGAACGCCAATTTTGCTCGAATCACGCAGCGTGATTTTTATTATTTATTAAAAGTACTGTAGTCAAGAGTAGTAGAAGTCAAGAGACACCGACTAGCAACTACGCTATGCTCCGCTCAGAGTAATAATTTTAATTATAATTAAATTATATTTGATTTGTCTAGGTACGCCGAGAACCTTATATGTATTTCAATCCTGTGGAATCTACATGCTCAAAAGGCGTCTAAAAATAGATAGCTATCGACTATGGGGAAGCGAAGTTATCGATTATTTTAATACTCTATAAATAGTAAGGGTAACTAACAGTCGATCACTTTCGACTAGCGTATTATAGTTTGTTTTTATCATTTAGATCTAATGGATTTGGTTATCAGGAATGTTGCTTCGCATAAGTGCATGTCGAAGATTGCAATCAATATTTGAGGAACACGGCACTACCAATAAAATTCACTCTCAACATGTTGGTCTGCCATAAAAATATAAATATTTAGCAAAGTTCTCAGCAGTAATAAATAAATACGCACATAAGTAACAGAGTCAGCTGATAATTGGCTTTAGCGTTTGATAATTTGATAATTGATAATAGCCATTGTTGAAGATTAGTGGCAATTCAAAGTCGCCAGCATGGACGCGATTTCAGAGAGAGAGAGGTGAGTAGCTCTGCAAGTACCTGTCAATGGGTCGAGTGACAGAGCTAATCAGCCAACGACAACAAGCGAACACGCACAGTGTCCCAAAGTTCCTTCTCCATTTGAGTATTTGATTCAAATTTTCCACACATAAAAGCTCTATTAGAGTCCATACTCAATTTTAATTGATGGCAAAATTCCCTACTACGGAATTCACTGCGACATTTACTCTAACATCAGTAGAACACAAACAAAAGTTATGAACGATTTCCACTTGAAGAAAACTCTTTAAATAGTAGCCCAACATATTTGTATATGAATTATGAACCGTTTACGGATTAGGTATATCAAGTGTGTACAGCATAATTCTTATAGATTCCCAAATGGAGAGGTTTTCGAAAAGCAGATAGCGGCTCTTTTGAAGATAATTATAGAGACTGTCAGCGGAAATACGAATCGAAATGGGATTGTTAGTAGGCATTGCCAAGGTTGGTACTAGTAATACGTAATATTAAATACATAAAGAAAATACTGCCCGAAAATTTATAGAAAAACCACATTTGACTTTGTTGATCTGTATCCGTGGGCTCAAATACCTCAGCGAGGGGAATCTCTGTCTCTGTGCGAGAAACATAAATAAAAAGTGTCTCAAATGCAAAACAGGTCAGAACTCACTCGATGTTATGAAAATCGCATAGAACGGCGAACCGAATCTAGTAGGGTAAGAGTGTGACTCATTAGCACATGCAACGACAGGTGGCTAGCTTTCAATGCAAAGCATTTATTTTGTCAAAAAAATAATCAATAATTATAAATCTGGGATTTCCAGTTTTAATAGTCACCCAAAATAAAAACAAATAAAAAAATACGATTATCAGAGATGTCGGTACTAAGTTTACTAGCTGCTTAGCGTCATGACTAAGAGACTTGGCTCCACAGCCGTAAAAATAATAATAATCAAACAGACATCAACTCGTTCATCGACTTTTAATATTAATGATAACGTCCTGATTAAGTTAAATACTTTAAACAAATTGATAGTCGGTAACGCCACATGACTCTATACATAAGACTGAGGTTTGAACTGCACTTAATACAGAATTAGCTGTCGATTCTTCTGATAGCAAATACTCAATAAATGTTAAATTTGCTATTTGGTGCAATGACAGCTAACGCCAAGGCTTTAATTTTAGTTCTCAGAGCACATTGTAGATGGAAGAGAGGAAATGTGTGAATAGAAACCTCATGGCCTTGCGATATTCCTTGGAATGCAATCTACTCTTACTACCTATAAATGAGCTTTTTTTGTAGATTGCGTTATTAAATACTTAAGTATTTGATTTAATGTGAAATTAAATTTTGTAAATGGAAGACTTAGAGTTACAACAGCTTTGTAAAGAACTCTCTGAGTCTATAAGTGTTCGGCATTTATATATAACGTATATAAATTATGAAACAATCTTTATATAGGTCAGCTTAAGTTTAAAATCTATCCTTAAGAACCCACGCATTGTGTAATAAAGATTGTTATTTTTATTAAGTCTGAACGCCAATTTTGCTCGAATCACGCAGCGTGATTTTTATTATTTATTAAAAGTACTGTAGTCAAGAGTAGTAGAAGTCAAGAGACACCAACTAGCAACTACGCTATGCTCCGCTCTAAATAATAATTTTTATTATAAATATATTATATTTGATTTGTCTAGGTACGCCAAAAACCTTATAAGTATTTCAATCCTGTGGAATCTACATGCTCAAAAGGCGTCTAAAAATCGATAGCTATCGACTTTGGGGAAGCGAAGTTATCGATTATTTTAGTGCTTTATAAATGGAGAGGGTAACTAGTAGTCGATCACTTTCGACTAGCGTATTGTAGTTTGTTTTTAGCAGTTAGATCTAATGGATTTGGTTATCAGGAATGTTGCTTCGCATAAGTGCATGTCGAAGATTGCAATCAATATTTGAGGAACACGGCACTACCAATAAAATTCACTCTCAACATGTTGGTCTGCCATAAAAATATAAATATTTAGCAAAGTTCTCAGCAGTAATAAATAAATACGCATATAAGTAACAGAGTCAGCTGATAATTGGCTTTAGCGTTTGATAATTTGATAATTGATAATAGCCATTGTTGAAGATTAGTGGCAATTCAAAGTCGCCAGCATGGACGCGATTTCAGAGAGAGAGAGGTGAGTAGCTCTGCAAGTACCTGTCAATGGGTCGAGTGACAGAGCTAATCAGCCAACGACAACAAGCGAACACGCACAGTGTCCCAAAGTTCCTTCTCCATTTGAGTATTTGATTCAAATTTTCCACACATAAAAGCTCTATTAGAGTCCATACTCAATTTTAATTGATGGCAAAATTCCCTACTACGGAATTCACTGCGACATTTACTCCAACATCAGTAGAACACAAACAAAAGTTATGAACGATTTCCACTTGAAGAAAACTCTTTAAATAGTAGCCCAACATATTTGTATATGAATTATGAACCGTTTACGGATTAGGTATATCAAGTGTGTACAGCATAATTCTTATAGATTCCCAAATGGAGAGGTTTTCGAAAAGCAGATAGCGGCTCTTTTGAAGATAATTATAGAGACTGTCAGCGGAAATACGAATCGAAATGGGATTGTTAGTAGGTATTGCCAAGGTTGGTACTAGTAATACCTAATATTATATGCATAAAGAAAATACTGCCCGAAAATTTATAGAAAAACCACATTTGACTTTGTTGATCTTTATCCGTGGGCTCAAATACCTCAAAAGCCATTCTCTGCCAATTGTGATAATATTGGAGAAAGAAGGAATGGAATCTCATCCAAAGAAATAAATCGAGAAAACGCACAAGGGATGACATAAACACTCTTAGTTTCATCTCGTCCTCTGATAACTTCCTTGTCCTAAAATGCTTCTTCGATCGGAGTTTTATAACTGATTTATTGGATTCCGATAATGCATTTCATTTGATTTACGCATTCCGTACAAAATGCTATGCTATCTTTACGCGGCCGGTTGAAACCACTGTGCAAAGCCATAGTGCACTCTCATATTCGTCTCTGACGTGGAGGCTCGATTCAGTTGCGTGCTGTGCGTCGGGGTAAAAAGTTGGTAGTCCGTAATTTTTACATACGTGTAGCTACTACCATTATGGCCG